AAGCACTGCATCCTCTGTACATTAGTTACGATCGCCTGTGACAACTCTGGATGTTTTAAACATGACTCTGGGCTGACATGAACAAACAGCAGCTCATTCCCCGTTTCTTAGTTTGTTCATCTACAAAGGAATTAAACATCAACAAACAAAGGCATAACTTTTTAAATTATTACTTCACCCATATGAGCCTCAGCTTCACATATAAACCACACAAGAACCATGGCCCTTGTACAATTTCGTTGATTTCAGACAAACCGATTAAACCGTGAACACTTTCGAAGAAATATTTCTGGCCACATCTGGACTATTGATTGTGTTATGATCAGTCACAGTGAAGATAAGGAAATGCAAACTGCCCCAAAACCACAAACTAAAGTAATTAATGTTCTTGCTTGTGGCCTACTCAGTTTCTTTGCATCTAAGGGGCTTTTTTCTTGCAATACAATTAGATTCCAGAAATATTTGAGGTGTTCACAATTTTCCTGGTTTAATGTAACACGCCTTGTAATATCTGGGATGTATGTAATTAGGTGCACTAATTTTCAAACTGATATTGTGAAGTGTAGGGAGAGAGCATAAAGACCATGCACTAGGCTCGATTACCAGCCGATGAAGAAGATTGAAAAAATTATATAAATAACGTTTGAGAAGGCTGTAGTTTCAGGCGAATTCTTGGTGGGAGTGTGCCATCAGGTTCTCCATATTATATGTCAGACCAGAAACCATCAGAACAGACCTCTAAAATCCATACCCATTTTCAGACCTAGTCTTTATTCAGAAATTATGTCGTCATTATTTAGATTAGCGCCCCCACCCCCCCCCCAAAAAAAAAAAATTCTACAAAATGCATTTCGAGTTCCTTCTTGTTCATTTGGAACTGAAACGATAAATACGTTCATACCCCTTCATACACTCCTATAGTTCCCTCAAAAAACCATACCCCAAGAACCATACCTGATTCCAGACCAAAATGGGCATAGTGTATACCTGTTTTCAGACCTAAAAGGTCCAAAAGCCCTACCCGATGAAGCGGCACATACCTATGTGGTTTGTCAGGGAAAACCCTCGGGTATACTATAACAAACTGTGTAATGGTATGAGGGATTTCTTAGACCAACCTAAATGGCATGCTTAACACCACCTAATCTCTGGATATGGTGTTGTGCCGAGCCTGATACCTTGGCATGAATATGTCGAATATAATATTCTGAGACAATGTAAAAAATAGGAATGGTTACATGCGCAACCTGGAGCAATGTGGTTGTGTCTTAAAACGTACTTCATAGACCTCTGTTATATGTAACTGCGAAATATCTAACGTACACAATTACTGAGAATAACTTTGTGATATATTATTTTTTAACACACCATTCTCTCTTGTTCTCATCAAACGCCTTCATTTTGTCAGGGGTCTATCAGAGTTCTATTCCCCCTATTCCTGGTCTGCTAAACTGATCAAATACGTACAGTACATACCAAACTCTTTACTTCCCTCTCCGCATTTGTGTGTAGATGAATTTTGGTGATAAAGATCATCCTACAAAAACAAAATACTACGTTGAGTACTTTCTGATGGCATTGCACTCCAACAATCATTTTGCCATCAATCTAACCGCTGATATTAGCCTTGACTAAAAAACAATACCTTGCCAAAGCAAATTTCATTTTAAATTATATGGCCTGTATTTTCTGAAACATGGTTAGGAACTGTGTAGGGCTGATAAGTTGCTTACAATTAAAATTTGTCTTTGTGTTCTTAGCGCTAAAATGTTTGAAAATCCAGACATTTCGGGACTACTGTCCCTTCATCAGTGGAAGATGCCGTTACACTGAGCGCGCGTCATTTTATTCAAATGTAGCAACATTTGAAGCGCACGCTGGAAGAGTTTGCTCAAATAAAATTGAAGTCAATGTTTATGCCGCGCGGCTGTAGAGTTTTGCATTTAAAAATTAGGCCGCCCTCCACCCTACGTCTGTCCCTGGTGTTGTGAAGACCCGCTCGAACAACAGCTACCATCATATCATCAGTCGTGTGTCCAGTTGTGTCTTTCAGCACGCGCAAAACGAAGAAAAAAAATAAATGTATAAAAATAAATTAATTCATCAATTTTAAAAAAGTTAACTTAATAGGCTAATAACCACGTAGATTTGTAGCTATACACAGTAAATGTAAATGTAAGTATAACTAGATCTGTAACAAATTATAGACCTTAACCTGGTGACAAAGCACCCCTATGACTACCCATGGTGTTTAACTGGATCTCTAGCAAATTACAGACTAAAACCTGGTGATGAAGCACCCAGTGACTAACCCTAAGGCTATGATAGGTTTATTTTGACACACATGGGGTATAACGACATCTATAACAACTTGGAACTTGATCGTCCCACACAAACTGCAAACCTCTGAAGATAGTTGGCCATCCCTATGAGCCTCTTCAGTTCCTGCTTGTTACTGGGTGTAGGCATTTTCTTGTACCCCTTAGGTTTTAGATGGGTCAGGTTTCGATTCATCTTGTGATACATGTCCCATAAAGGTTACCTCAGGCAGGTGCAGTTCTCACTTGTCCTTTTTTAGCTTCATACCTCAGCTATGACAACCTTCTAGTAGGGCAATAAAGTGCCACCCATGGTCTGCTGTAGACTCGGCTCTTTTTGCTCTCTCACGTTAAATCAGGATATTATTAACCCGTTCACTGCCAACCCCATGTTAACCTCCTGTGCCAAGTCCGTTTTCCTTTTTTTGAAGTATTTTAAGTTGTCCTCAATAAAATGGAAATAACATCTTAGTAATAGAACATAAACTTGTGTGATTATTGATTGTTTAATTTGATATTTAATGATGTCATTTTAATATAAAAATTAGCATAAATTATTAAAGTTAGGGTATATGTAGATCAAAATATGAGACTATTTCCTTCTAAAAATTATTTCACTAGTAAAATGAAGCAACTTACCCAAATTTTCAATATATTGGGCTTCTACTATTTACAGAGAAAATTATAAAATCTAATAGAACAATAACATTCTGTAATAAAGTCTGAACAGAAAATTCATGGCACTTGCATTCATAAGTTACCACACTAAGTTTTACTAAAACAGATTATTTGCTGGCTATTTACAATATAATGAAATCTAAGTACTGCTTTCTGATCAATGTGGAGTTTCACACCCAGTAATTGACTTTAGCGTGGTAAAGTTCAAAACATGGATAGTAACAAAGTCCTGGATTGCTTGGACAGTTGGGACAGTTGTAGCGACAGTCCTTGTGAACTTTTTTCTTGTAGCACACCCTGCATCTCTTCTAAGGCTTTTGTTTAGAGGCTGTTTCCAGAACAGGTGAAACAAAATGACGCTCAGTAAGCCTTATGACATGCTCCTCTCTAGGAATCCCCATGTCAGCACCAGTTTCAAATATAAGGTCTGCAATCACATCGCATTCAAATCCCAGGAATGGTTTTTGACCACCATACTTTGGAGACACAATAAAGCTGTTGAGCATAAACATCTGCATAAAGTGGATGGCCAGCTTCTTGTACCACTTCAGTGTTTTGCGAGGTACCTCATAGGGTTTGAGCAGCTGGTCAGTGTGGTCGACTCCACCCATGTACTTGTTGTAGTCAGCAGTACAGGTTGGTTTTGTCTGGCGCTGATTTCGGTATCTCCTGTCAGGCCTGTGCATACCTGCAAACCCCCGGAGTACAAAAATCTGGAGACGTCTAGAAGTTGTTGCATCGAAAAATGTCCTTTTCGACAATGTCTGATTACTCTCCAAAGATCACCCGAAGGCTTTACGAGTGTTCCTGACGTCTGTCGATTGGAACAGCATGTACCTAACTTTGTGGTATTGTTCTCATAGTTGCTCAGTGATTCTGAAGTTTTACATGTCCTTTCAACACCTTAGTGTTAAATCATTATGATCTGTGTTGAAAAGTCCACATATTGCATCACAATTTCCACTGTAAAGCAGGGTTTTTTACCAAAAGGCTTCATCATATTATCATAACACGATCATAATGCACCTTTCCTCTTGGGCGTAATAAGCATGCATTGTAATAGTTGTATTGTATAGAAAATTGGTCAGTGTTCAGCAGTACTTCCTGGAGTCTTTATCAGACACACCTTCTTACGACAATGAATAATAACAACACGATCATAAATAAATACCTTTCCACTTGGGCATATAGTTCACGTGAGATACTTGTGGAAATTCTTCATTCTATTTTGATTTTTTTGCCACGCACCGACAAATATTTTGAAACAAAGAAACATTGTGTATATGTGATAAATGACACGATTTGAAAAGAGAAAACATTACCCCCAAACGGAAAAAGTCTATTGAGCTAAGCATTTGTAGCAACTTCCGACAAAGCTGTGAAAGTAATTAGCTTCAAATTTGATTGATGTTAACTTTCCGACCGATTATTTTAGTGAGGTAAGCATATAGCTCCTTTTTCAGTTCTCTCTAACACCCCTCGTAGCGAAGGTCTAGAAAACCAAGTAGAAAGACAAATTCTCGGAAAGAAGAGGAAGTTTCTTTTGTTTTAGTACAACGTTGTTAGTCTACGATTCCACAGTGAGACTTGTGGCTAGTTTTACTGCTTTTAAGTTTCATTACCACGTACGCATTACACAATTGTGATCACTCTTAGCTATGAATACAATAATACTTAAATGATTTCTTAATGTAATGATTTCAGTTGACCGCTTCGACATAAGGACTAAAGACTAGCGGAATAAGGAACGTCAAGTACTATTCATGATCCTTCTGCTTTTTTGAAGAATATCGAATCTGCGCGTAGGACGACCCTGGGAACCAAGATTTAATTAGAAAACATTACAGCATCAACAGTTGGTTATCAGGAATGGGCCTTATTATACAGCCTCATAGCGCTCTTTGCTGCTTTTAGTACATTGGGTGGAAGTTCGTTTCCTCCAAGGCTGTTTAGGGGTTTCCTCTTGATGTAAGCAGGATCTTAAAGGCATTAAATTCTTTTTTATCATAGAGAGGACCCTTTCTTCACCACCATTCGAGTGCGGTATGGCGATGACAAGTAGAGCAATCTTGGAGAGCCGTCTGGGGTGGTCATCTCTTGCAGATGGCCCCAAACAATGTCAGGTCTTAGCCGGCTGCCAGCTTCTGAGGCCTTAGGCAACTCTCTGACTGAGTTCGGAAGTTCCTCTTCGTCCATTGTAACAAAGTCGTGGACCTCCTGGGTCAGTTCTTCCGAATCTCTCGCTGATATGAATGGCAGAAGGTTTGGGAATATCTATAAAGGAAACCAGTCATTGAGAAACGTTTGATAACTGTTTCACTGAGACAGTCGTAGGGCAGTGCCACTTGTGCAGAGTAAAGTGCACACAGACTACAAGTTGAAAATGAAGGGGAGAAAATTCCCTATGAAAACAATTTTTGGATATTTAAACATATTGGCCCTAGGGAATTTTTATCTCAAACACTTTTTCGAGCTCCTGGAATTAGTGGTTTTAGAGACTTTTTTCAAACAATCACTCGTTGATTTAAGTACTCTTACTAGTACTGTACCTCTGTACAAAGTACTTTCCCATGGAGGGCTTAAGCTTTTCCCTTTCTTCAAAGTGCACCATCTCAGCATTGACGAGAAGCTCATCATTTACTGGAATATGGCTGACATCATACTCGAAAGCTTTGCTGAAGAAAGACTTTGCCTCCACATAGAACTGCTTCTCATCCTCAGTGTCAATGTCACCGGAACTGACGAGGTTGTTCAGTGAAGTCCTTGTCATAAAGCCAACGTCGAGCAAGGAATCTGAATAACAAAAATATTAATCTGCACACAGGTCTCATAGTGTATCAAACGGTATTAAGAAAAGGAAAAAAAGACGCAACATACCTGGCAAATATTGCTCAACATCAAGGAGCTGCTGGAAGGATGACGACGCCTTAACGATCCCAGGAGAGATGAACTTGCAGGCAAGGAGCTTTAGAAACCTCGTCAGGGATGAGTTCATGGCACCAATAAGAGGTTCCTCTCTTTGTAGAAAGAGGTTGAGATTAACAAAGATCTGCAAGGCAGACTGCAGAAATAGCAGATACACCTCTGTCGTGGGGTTGCTCAAGGCAGTGTGGAGCCTCTTGAATCGAGCAGCGGACTCATCTTCTTAAAGAAAGTTTTCAGTAACTGATACTGCAGCAGGGTTCGAGTGATCACCTTCTCCAGGCTAAGCCATCTCATGTTGACGTGCTTGATGATCTTAAGGTATTCTTGATCGCAGAAATCGGTATATTCTACCAGCTTGCATTTTCGTTTCGTAGAATAGTCAAACCAGTAGTAAATGTCGACTACGAGGTCTTCCACATCAAACCCGGTCTCAGCATTGAATGCTTTGCCTGCAGCCGAGGGGGTATTGTGCACAACCTGGCACTGGCATCCATTGAAGTATACGGATGGGTTCTGCAGCTTGACGCGCATCAGGGTGGAGTTGTTTTTCCCCAAGTTAACATCAGCGTTGTCCACGGAAAAAGCAACGCAGTTTTTTCATGGGATTCTGCGGCCGGCCAAACACTCATCGATTCCCTGGAAAAGCATCTGAGCCGTGCTCCCACTCGATAAGCACATGTCCAAGAAGCTGGTCTTCACCGGCTTTAGGTTCACATCGTATATTTGCACAGTCAGGGGATTCATCTTTTTGAGACCATTATCGTTAGAACCATCAGTCGCCAGCGAATATGGGGTGTTTTTTCATAACCTCCACCAGGGAATTTCTGTTTAAAAAAAATAATGAAATATATGTACTGAACCCTTAGCGTTAATGATGTGACTTACCGCCAGCAATAACCACAGGTCTTGAAAACCGAAAATGTTATTTTACCTGAAATATGGCTTCAGCGCCCCGTTCACAATGCATGTCATCTTCGTCCTTCCTGATGCGTATACTTTGGCGATTTTAGAGTCAGGAAATATATCCTAGAACAGTTAAATGTATCTGCTGCTGCAAACGGGATGTAAAACGGGACAACAAACGTGCATAAATCGTGAATGAGAGAGTACATGTACATATTTAGGCACAGCTGTGGTACCTTATCAATATCATTTTTGGGTAGAAGCACAGGTCTGGAACAGAGTCGGTTGGTTTTTTTTATTTTTATTTTGATGTGCCTTGGTCTCCAAGTGGTCCTTTACATCCTTGATCCCTTGTTTTGCACAGGATAAGGCCCGGTTGAATGCTGTACAACAAAACTTAGTTGACGTTCCAGGTATTGCAATGATGCATGGCCACTGGTGGGTCCACGTGTTGGAGAAGTGTGTTTTATATAAAAACGATCCGGTGTACTTAGATTTCTTGAAAGTAGAAGGTGGTACAGAGGGTGGACTTTGAGCTCTTTTTTTTGATGCTTTGGGTACTGCGGTTAAGGGAGGAGTTTATGGTTTCGCTTGAGCTGCACCCACTGCTAATGGTGGTACTGGTATCAATGGAACAAAATGGTTTGGTGTCCAACCATGAAGGTCGACATTGCTTGTGTGTGTCCACATTATATATGCTACCGTCAAATGGTGCATCTGCGAAGGCGTGATAAGGACATTGACATAATTCCAATTGACAAGGGAGCCTTTAACTTCCGGGTAAACGGTTCGAATAGGAAAACCCAGGAGTTGCTGGGTGCAAAAATATGCTGCATGTTGAATATGTGCCAGGCTTGATGGTATAGACAATTCCTGCCTCAAAGCCCTCTCGTTGACGTTCAGTATTCCGTTTTCCCTTTGTTTTGGACAAGAAGTCAAAGCTACTCCCTAGTAAGTTCTCCACAGTCATCCAAACCAGTTAACTCTTTCAGATAGCAGTCGTTTAAATACTTGTCCTTGTTCTTGCAAAGTTCTATAAATGTTCTCATGCACAGTTCTACGTCTGTCCTCATTACCGCATATGATCCTTGACATGGCCCTATATAGACAATTTCCATCGGCATAAGTTTGCTTCAGTTCTACACATTTTGAGCCATCACTCGGGAAGAGCTTTTCTGCCCTTACATCTTTACAACCTGCAGACCAACAAAAAATAGCCAAGTTGCCTATCAGTATGGGCCGTAGACTGTAGTTTTCGATTTGTTATGGCAATAAAACCGTTTGCGTTTGGTTAAAGCAGGGCATTCAAACCCATTTTGATATGTTATAAATCGCTTTCCCAGCATTAAGTTAAATATAAGCTTAAATCATATATCACCTACTGCCAAAACATTGTTTTCTCTGCCAACGAACTGGTAAACTTTAATTCATCAGCTATCGCGTACTCAAGTTTAAGACTGAGTTTGATTTCTGATCGGAACGTCCGTGGTTAAGGTGGTGAGTTCAGGGGTGGTTAGACTATAAAGAACACACACCCTTTTAGATGATGCTAATGTGGAGCCACCTCAGGCTTTTAATCATGCTTCGCATATGCATGTAGACAGGGTATGTTATGAAGTTTTTTTTTGCTTGCCACGCATACTTTTTGATTTGAAAGCTGCTTTTAATCAAATGTGCTTTCAACGTGATATCCCCCTTCTCGTTCTGCAAGGTAACGAGACCTTCAAATGTAGTGGTGTGGGGAATGTGATGTTTTACAAGGAAATACAGTGATCGGATGAGCTTCTTCATCATTTTCTGGTTTTCTTTCTTTTCTTCCTCGCTGGCTGTTACAATTAGTTCTATAACATCGCCACGCTTTTCTGCAGACTGAGAAAATGCCCTTCTCTCTACTGCTGCTAGATGCCATTCACTTTTCTCATGATTTGCCAACAGGGTTGTGCCTTCGCCCAGTTGTTTACAGGACGTGTTACCCATGCACCTTTAGCTTGCACAGGTACTTTCCCATAGACCTTGCAAACAGTACATTCCATACCCTTCAAAGTTGAATCATAGTTCATCCAAGAGTGTTCTTTTTCCATGAAGCGTCATAGGTTAAATTCTTCATGTAGTTCGGCTTGTTATTCGTGCTACTATTCGATGTTGCTGCAATCTTTTCTGGTGGATTTACTGCACAATCAGATTCACATGGTCCATGTCTTTTTCTTGGTTGACTTGTGCTAGTCGAACTCGATGTTGTGCCAACCTTTTCTGATGGTTGCACTGCACAATCAAAATCACATTCTGATGACGTGTGTAGATCAGCATCTCCCTTCTGTGGTTTTCTGCTTACAAATTTCTCCATGCTGTTGCCATTCAACTCATAAACAGAATGTACAGCACAATACCCGAACCTGCTCTAAGGCCAGCAGTTTGTAATACTCCATGTCCCATGTCATATAGTGTCCTAGACAGGGAATACTTACTTCATGTGCACTGACCTCATCGCGTCTGGATGATTTGTCCGATATAGTTACTCATATACTGTAATGATAACAATATTTTTTGGGGGGAAGCTGGGCATTTTGGGTGGGGGGGGAGGCTTCTACCCCTCAAATACCCTAGATAGAACCCTGCTAATAACATCGCGACGTGATCGACCAATCAGATCAATAACCAGAGTATAATACCATCAACTGACGTGATACAACTCACTTTGACTCTGAAGTTGACTACAGCACATTTTGTCGAAACGTCAGTCACTGTCAACAACAACAGTCCCATTCAGGACTACGTTCACCCGGACAACCAAACTCAACCTACTTTTACAAAATAGCATTATTCATATAGGTCACATACAGGAAGAATTTCAGAAGCGTCATGGCAAAATCGGTAAACAAGCTTAAATGGAGCAACCAGTCTCGCTGGTTTAGTTATGTAAACCTGTAACTGTGGTTTCCCATATCTTTCTTATTGTTGTATGTAAATTGGTTTCAGCAAATACCAAGGGATTATAAAAGCTTTATCAACATCAGACAACACTTGTTTAATCCAATTATTGCGATGTCAAGGGATACAGACATCCCTCTTGGACTGAGGCGAGCGCCTAACAGGAAGCACACGTTCCATTTTCACTCTCTACATTTTTACTCGCCCCTAAATTTGTTCAGAAAACCATTTCACTGATATTGTTCCTCTGTATATGCTTGGATGGCAAGGATTTCTACATGTTCATTCCTCACTGCTATTTTGTCATCAACTTCACCAAGGTGTTTGTCCATGGGTCTTAGGCATTGTCTAGTTGACCATGGATTATCAAGGAAGACGCCTACGCGTTGCAGATGTAGAGCAGGATGGGGGAAATGAGTGACTTTGTAAACCTCAAGTCTTCAATCAAGTCAAATCCTATCTGACGAACCTTTGGTTCTGGCCAGTATGGCCGTTGATGGCGGAGTTGACAATGCCATTATTAACTGTCATTCACCCATGGAGGACTGTTTGCAAAACACTATCCGGGACTTCTCGTGTCGTGAGATTTGGGATCGCCACATAATTCGTCTTATCATGCACCAAAAATTATGGTTGTTGATGTGATGTCTCTTGTACCCAAGATCACCGAAGTACAGGAATTCATTGATAGGAATAAAGTTAGTTTAGCTTTCGTAACGGAAACGTGGCTAAAATCTGCCGTGGTAGACACTGTTGTGGATGTTCCTGGCTTCTCCATTGTATGGACGGGGCATCCAGTGCATACAGTGGCATTTGTTTTATATCAAGGACGATTACTCTAGAAAAGTAAAGATCATGAAATCCTATGGCTCCATCTGCGACCAAACCACCTCCTGAGAGGTTTTTCATCCCTCATCATGGCAGTTGTTTACCATCCTCACTGGACCTAAGACAAAACAATTCTATGCAAGATCACTTATTTCAACACCCAGCTCTGGAAGTATGTAGATGACATGACAACGTCAGAAGTAGTTTCTAAGGGTGGTGCGAGTGATGCACAACATATAGCAGACTGTGTATCTCAGTGGTCCTTAGATAATAATAGGGTTTAAATGAACAGCAAAAAGTGTAAAGAACTTAGAATCTCCTTCACGTAAAAGCAGTCGGAGTTCCATCCTATTCCTGTAAATGGTAACCAATGTGAAGTTGTTAGAAGCACAAAGCTGCTGGGTGTGATAA